ATTTCTTTTTTTTTTTTCCCCCCCCCCCCCCCCCGTTTCTGAGTGGCCCAGCTGAGTCGGGGGGGGGGGGTGTCGGTGCCTGGGAAGGGCAGGAGGTCCAACTCTGCCACTGGAGTTTACTGTACAATTAGAATCCTAGAATCACAGAGTTGGAAGGGATCTCCAGGTCATCTAGTCCAACCCCCTGCACAAGGCAGGAAATTCACCTCCCCCCCCCCCCGCAGTGACCCCTGTTCCATACCCAGAAGAGGACAAAAAAAATTCTTCAGGATCCCTGGGGGTGTCAGAAAGGGCCCCGAGAACTCAGCATGGAGGCTGCAGCCCTCCCTGCCCTCCCTTCTCATGATCTGCCTGAGTTCACCGAATCCGCATGGCTGACCGATGGCCACCTGGCCTCTGCTTGGAAACCTCCAGAGGAGGGAGAGCCCACCACCTCCCGAGGAAGCCTGACAGTGCAGAGGGGGTGGATCCAGCGCAGGCCCGTGTCCTCTCTGGAGACTTGCTGGCTGGGAGTAGCATGCTCCAGCGTGAGCCAGTGCGGGGCCCCTCTGGGTCTTGCGGGGGCCAGGAGGTGCCCTGGTACAGGTGGGTCAGCTGCCCTCGCCCACGCAGGGTGGGGTCTCCCCGTGCAGAGGGTTGCTGGTCATTGGCCAAACTTCTGGGTCACATATTTCTTTTTAGGAAAGTGGGGGGGGGGATGTCATGGGGTCTCCGGCCCGGAGGCTTGAGGGAAGTGTCCGTGGGGTGGGGCTTGAGGGAAGCAGGAGGGGTCCTCGTCCCCCCCCCGTGTGACTGTGTGCTGCCCACTCTGCCTCCCCCACAGGTCTTCTTTGCCTCGGTCCGCTCAGGAGGCAGCAGCCAGGTCTACTTCATGACGCTGAACAGAAACTGCATTATGAACTGGTGAGGGGGGGCCTCATCCCACCCACCCCCCACCCACTGCCTGTGCTGGAAGGACCAGGAGGAGGAGGAGGAGGAGGGTGGGCGCCCCTCCCTGCTGAGAGACCAATCCGTGAAGCCGATGCCTTGACAGTCCCGTCCCTTGCCTGGGGGGGTTCTCCGCCTGAGGAAAGGGGAGAAGCTGAGAGCTGGGGGGGGGCAATTTTAGGAAAGAGCGCCCCCCCCATGGCCATGCATGCATGTGACCCTCTCACTCCCAGGCCACCAGGTGGGGGGGGGGTTGGGAGGAGGGAGAGAAATAGCCGGGGCCCCCCCTGGGATGGGAGCCTTCGGGGTTCAGAGGCGAAACCCACAAACCAGTCCAGCCGCTTCCCTCTTTCCCCTCTTTCTCCGCCATCTCTCCAATTTCAATAGGGAGGGAGAAGATCCGTGGTCGCAGAGAGTGTGGATCTGAGCCCAGATACCATCTCCCTCCCCCCCTCCTCGCTTTGCACATCGTCTCCC